GATTGATGTGGCGGCGGGGAAAGGAGGCGGTGAATGTGAGGCGGTTAAGGAAGAGAGAGTTGAGATTCTAGGCAACGAGACGAAGGGTTCTAGTGCTTTTCGGAGTTCAGATAGAATAGGGTAATGAGGCTTCATTTATTTGATGCTTTCTTGAAAAAAATTGTGATGATTTGTTTGTTGGTAAAGGGTAAAGTTTGGTTAATGAGTTTTTGATTTGATGTTTTATTGTTTGTTTCAGTTTTTTAAGTGTTTCAACAAGAAAAGATTGCACACAAAGATATTATTTTTATTTATGTGAAAATTATTATTCAAAAAAAAAACAAAAGAGTAAAAGAAGATAAAAAATTACCAGGGCCTCTCTGGCAGATACATTAGTCTCTGGTGCTCCATAGTTGCACTTTTGATACCTTTCCAGTGTTTTCAGCATGCTGCTAAAGTAAACACACATAACAAATTGCAGTAAGTACTTACATACATAGAGAGAGAGAGAGAGAGAGAGAGAGAGAGAGAGAGAGAGAGAGAGAGAGAGATGAAAATATTAGCAAAAATAATGATTTTTCTGGCTTGCTAAAAGCATGTTTATGTCTAATCACATCTTTCAAGCAGGAAAGAAAGAAAAAAAAAAAACAGATTTGAGGTTAAAATCCAGTGTTGAAACTTTGTCCAGAGGTAATTTGGTAGTAACTCTTTGGAATTTTATCAGGAATATAATTAATTTTCTTGCAGCTTTGGCTAAATAGATCAGGAACAAATAATAAATTAAACCTTAGTCATCATGTCATAAAACTGAAAAAATAAAAAAAAATGGATACAAGACTGCTTTCAATCAAATTAACAATCTAAAAAAACCCAATTAATTAAATTGAAAACCCAAAAAAAAAATGTTGAAGAGTGAGTTTTTAGGGCCAAATAAGAAACAAAATCTACAAGATCTGAGAGGAAGCAGTGAGAATGATGAGTTTTTAAATTCAGAATTTTAAGTTCTTACAGAACCCTAGCTACAGAAAAAATAAATAATAATAAAAAATTCAATAACCACCAAGATCTTGAAAGCTGATTTAGCAATCTGAGTTACTTCTGTTTCAAAAATATATTTTGAATGAAAAGAAGAGATATTTGAACATGAAACCCTAAAAAAGTTGTGATTTTGACCCCAAAAACAAAGAAAGAAACACACACACACACACACACACACACACACAACCTCTAGTGCTTCTGCTAGCTAGGTTGAGATATTGATCCTTAATTCTTGAAACCAAATTCCAAAAGAACAAAAGAGAAAACTTGGTAGGAATCATATGCTTAACAATTCCAAAAAAAAAGCTTCTTGGTTTAGAGAGAGAGAGAGAGAGAGAGAGAGAGAGAAAGAGAGAGGGGTTGAGTTTGGTTTAGAAGTAGTGAGAAACACTAGATCGGATCTCTTAAGAAAGAAATATGAAGAGAGAGAGAGAGAGAGAGAAGAGAGAGGAGTACAGGAAAACACAAGGGTGCAGAAAAATGAACATGAAAATGGAAACAACTCTTCTTTTCATGGTTTCCTCTTGCAGATCTAACATTTCAAGAAGCCCCAGACCCCAACACCACCCCCAAACCATTCACACAAACGGCAATTTAAACAACCATTTAAGAAAGACGATTCACTTTTACCATAAAATCAAAACACCAAAAAATTAATAACAAAGATTAAATTTTGAGACAACCCCTCATCTCAAAACATTAACCCCATAAATAAAATCCAAGAATCTTGAAAAAAAAAATATTGCAAAAAAAAAAAATGAAGGTAGGGTTAATTTGTTTGGTGTATGTATATGATGTATGTATGTATACCTAGAGCTACTGCAAAACTCGTACAGCTTTCCTCTATTGGAGAAGATAATCAAGGCAACCTCAGCATCACAAAGAACAGAAAGCTCGTAAGCTTTCTTCAAAAGACCATTCCTTCTCTTCGCAAAAGTCACTTGTCTGTTTATCTTATTCTCTATCCTCTTCAGCTCAACTCTCCCTCTCCCCATCTCTCCTCTCTCTCTCTCTCTCCTCTCTTTCTCTCTCTAAAAATCACTCTAAACTCTCACAACACACACCCTTATAAATAATAACGTATGCAAATATATATATATATATATATATATATGTATATGTAAAAAAAATGAAGTCAGAGGAGAGAATATTAGTTAGTGGTGGTATGAGCATGATGATCCCATGAATAGATTTTGCATAAATACGCTAACTAATCTTTTTCTTTTCTCTTTTAAAAAAAATTGATTTTTTTTTTTTTTTTTTTTTTTTTTAGATGATGATGGAGTTATGGGAGATTATTTGGTGGTGGTGAGGTGCATGGTTAGACTATGGGGAGCTGAAGAACTTCCAGTTTGATCCAACGGTCAGAAGAAGGGGGTGGTGAAAAAGCAGACAAGATGGATGAGGTGGGGAAACCTTAAAACTGAAGAGTTTTATCGGTGCAATGGGACACGTGTCATGATCTAACTGGGTGATGAAGGGGACTGGGGGTGGGCAGCTGCCCTTCTCAACTAGCTAGCTACAATGTAATCGAAATATTTATGTCTTTTCAATCGTTAAATTGCTCTCCCTATGTAATGAAAATATTTATTTGTTTAGCCAAAATTAGGGTGGGAATTAGAACGATGTTTCCGAATTTCTCTGATTTCGATTCGTGTATGATATTTTACGGTTTTGGACAGTGTTTTTCAATGCGAATTCCGAATGTTTCAATTTTATTTTTTTTTTCTTTTTCGAAATGAACTGGAATTCATATTAGATTCTGATTTTCGATCCAATTTTTATTTTTGGAAATATTTTTGAAATTTCCATTTCTTTTCTCAAAATTTACACTTATGACTTATAATATCAATATTATGATGTATTATATATTGTAGATGAGTCAAATTTTGAAGATTTCGAATTCCACCAATTTCGATGGAAAAAATTCTTATTTTTGATTAAAAAAAAAAAAAATCATTCTAGTTTCTGAAATTTTGATCTCCATTTTCTTCAATTTTTTTGTGAAGGAAATTATAGTTAGTTTTTTACTTCTGAAAAGAATTATGATATAACCATTCCACAAGAGATGATTTAATTTAATGGATGAAGTAAAGATACTCACATGTTTTACATATATTTAATAAATTTATATACTAATAACTAAATTAGGCAACAAAAAGTTATCTTTTCTTTTTAGATTCTTTTTCTCGTGATATTAAAAAAAAAAAAAAAAAAAAGTGTGAAAATGAGAACTTTTAGATGTTCATATAATTATTAAAACTAATTAAGGATGTTTTTCACGTGTGTTACTTTTGGTCGCAAAAGCAGAAAACTTCCAATTCCAATCCCTTGAAGTTGATATATGGGTTTGTCATCTCGAAATCTTCGTACTAAATCGTAACGAAAGGTAAACGAACCATGGTGAAGAAAATATCTTAAAAATAGCAATATTTATTTGTAAATTCGAAACGTAAAATATGGTTTAAAGCAAGCTTGATAATTAAGCTTTGACGTGACGAATTTTTTTTAAGAATAAAGTATTGAGCGAGAATTCATTTCTATGTCGAATGTTTACTAATCAACACAACTTTATCGACGGATGATTCATCTTGCTTCTACTTCACAAAGTGTAGCATAAATTTGATTATTTTCCTATTTGGTGATAAATATATAAATAAATAAATAAGTAAATAAAAAATAAAAAAAAAAAAAAAAAAGGAAATTATGTTGTTGTTGTGGTAGGTAGCTTGTTTTAATTAGGAAGGAGGCATGTCTTAATGAAGATACTTAATATGCAATTAGCTAAAACTAGTCTCGAATGAATGAGCTAATTGAATACTACTTTGTTGGTTAATTAATGGCTATTTATTCTTGCTAGCTAGCTGTTTAGCGATGGCGATTGTGCAATTTGGTGAAGAATTAATTAGACTATTTTTATTTTTTTAGAGGAATATTCCATTATCAACCAATAATTTAGTAAACCAAATAAGTATTTTCGTTTTAAATTACATAATCATCGGTCATTTTATTTTAGTTAATATGACTTCTAGTTATTTATAACCATCAAATTTCTTAGTTTGTTCTTCGATATATGCAAGCAAGCCCGTTCCTGAGAAATTAGGGGCATATGCGAGTTTTAAAATTTTGGAAAAATGGGGCCATTTTGTATACTATACACATTAGTTCGCTCTACCGAGGACGATTGGACCCTAATTTTTTGATTATGAATTGAGAATTTTTTTAGATAATATGACTAATATCGACCAAGTTAATAAGGTAAACCAAAAACATTTTCGTGGTTCGAAGCAGAGCTCTAAAGTTTTTTTGAAATTACTCTTAGAAGTATATTGAACAAATAAATATATGTAACACTTGTTTAAATATAATAAAATATAATATAATAACTTCAAATTACCGAAACTCCTTGAATTTATAGCCTTATAGGTAGACAATGTATATTATGCAAAGATTGTTGGAATAAAATTTAAAATCTTGTTGAAAAAGAACTCAATATCCAACCATTTAAAATTGATTTAAGACGATTCATTCAAATCAAAAGTTAGAATAAAGTATAAAAATTTCCAACGAATATTTAAACTATTTCAAATAATATAGTTATGGTTATTCAAATTGTTGAATTATTAATATACTTTAAATATCATTTAAAATTATGACTATTATATAAAGAGCACAAAAAATTATTTAGGGGCCCAAATATTTTTGTAAAAGTCGGGAGCCCTAGGTGACCGTCTTTCTTGCCTATAGTCCCGGATCCAAAACACATTCGGAAATTAATAGGGAAATTTAGTTAAACATAAAAAATACACATATACTAATTAACACATGCACCTCTAAAAACTGCTATTAAATGATTTCTGAACCAATTAATTCTAAAAATAAATATGGTAAATTGGTTCAGAAATTATTCAATATTGTAAAACCAATTTCACGAGTTATTTTTTTTTTATTTTTTTTTTATTTCTAATTTATAAATATATGCGTCACCGCCCATAGAAATATCAAATATATATATACTTATTCGATACGTTAAAGCCTCTACAGTTGTGAGATATCAATTATTCAAAGGATATTTGTGGTCCATTGTTTGTAATTTACAACTCATCAAGATCTTCAATAACAAAAAATAAAAAATAAAGCAACATTAAAGCAACTTATTACCAAAGTTTCTTATTGGTGCAAATTAAATATGGCTTCATACATATGTATCACATTTATTTATCCTTATGAAGCAAATAAAGGTAGTGTTGTTTGTGGGGTTGGGGTTCATTTTTGGTTATTTACTTCCTATGGTAAACCTGACAAAAAAAAAAAAAAAAGAAGGAAAAACACGACTTCCCATCTGAATATTTCCGATTTTAAAATAATATTTTTCATTCTAAATTCGAAAAGTTTCGGTTAATTCGATTTTTTTTACGAAATTGGAGTAGATATACTTGATTCCAATTTTGGGTCTAATTTTAATTTTTTTGAAAATATTTTCGAAAATTTTGATATATTTGGAAAGTTCCGCTTATAATATAATCGTGCGTTTTACATTATATTATAGGACCCTAAAGAATGAAAATTATAATTTCAGGCGAGTCTGATTCAATTTTTCTTTTTAGAATCTTTCCGATTTCAAAATAATATTTTTCATTATGAGTTTGAAAAGTTTCGATTTCTTTTTGATATTTTTGTTGAACGAAATTGGAATTGATATACTTGATTCTGATTTTCGGTCTAATTTTACTTTTTGAAAATATTATCGAATCTTTTGATATTTTTGGAAAAATACGCTTAAGATATAAACATGCATTTTACATTAGGACCCTAAAGAATGAAATTATTATTTCTGCAAGCCTAATTCAATTTTTTTTTTTATAATTTGTTTCGTCATAATTTTTGAATTTTCGATATTCAAATTTTTGAGGTTGTCTCAGAATGAAATTGGAATTAATTTGTCACTTTCTAAAAATTAGCTAATTTCGATCCGATCCATCCGATTTTAATCCCTAATTTATATACATGAATTTCCAACACTTACTGTTGCTAAGGTAGATGCAAAAACGGTCTTGTATCAAGGGGTAGCCAAGTTGAGAGTAGGAGAGCGCGACATCTAACAACATGACTTCGAATCCCCATGTCAATATTTTCTAATATCGAGCGCGTCACACATGATTTCTGCGGTAAAAAATATATTTCACGCTAAAGCGGAATTTACCAAGTGCATATAAAATTTTCTTATAATGAACTAATCTTCTTATATTTCCGCTATATTTTTTTTTCGAAGCAATTATTATTGAAGGATAAAAATTATCAAAATCTTCCTAAACTAACATCTACTTATTAGAAATTATCTCCAGTATTTATAATTATCAAAAACTCCTATAATTAAAGGTTGATCAAATTTCTTAGCTTAAAATGTGTAATGTGGTCTATAAATCCTTAAATTAAATAAAAATAAACTAAAAATCACAAAAGTTACCAAAAACCCTCATGGGGTAGTGTCCAATTATCAAAAAATCCCTCTAGTATTCATTACTATAAATTTTAAACTTAATTTAAAAAAATAAATATTGAATATTGTCTAGTGAATATTTGACAAACTCAGATGTTGTATATTATCAGTCTGCCGAATTTTAATTGACATTCAGATGAATGTTTAGTGACATTTTTACTACTTTCAGTTGAGTTTCCGATAATATTTATAATATCAACATTATTACGCATTTTATATTTTAGCCAAATTAAAAAATAAAATTGCCGAATTTTGTTGATTCTGATAAAAGAGATTGATTCTTGAACAATTTTTTTTCAAAATAATTTTTAAACTTTGATTTTCAAAATTTTCTTAATATTTTTGGAACGAAACTAGAATTAGTTACTCATTTCCATTAAAAACGACATTTTTCCAAAATTAATTAATTCCTGCATTAATTTATAAACTCACTAATTTGAGAAGAGATATTAGTAAACCCCATATAGTAACAAAAGAAACAGATAACTAAGAAAGATGTAGTGAATTCAAATAATAAATATTTTGTCTATAATACAACTAAAAACTCAAAAATCACAATTGATACCATTTTAAATGATGAACATTACAATAAAACTCCTCATACACAACGGCAATATTTTTTCTCCAAAACAATATTACAATTACCACCTCATGATACAATTTTTTGTT